TCCAGGCATACCTTAAATATATTTTTGGGAGACAAGCTAGGTCACTACAGTAATTATGATACGGATACATATCACCACAAGTTACAGCCTCTCTTGCAATAAGGTCAGCTTTGTCATTGCCGCTAATACCACTGTGTCCTGGTAACCAGGCAAAAGAAACGGAATAACCTCTCAACATGCAAAGATAAAGACTTTGTCTTATGTCACAAATAATGGGATAAACTGGTTTTGATTTAAACGGATATTTGGCTAGAGCTTGCAAAGAGCTCATAGAGTCAGTGAAAACTATTGCCTTATGTAATTTCATTAAAAGTATATATTCTACAGCTTTTAAAATACCATAACATTCCCCGGTAAAAACTGAAGACTCCGGTGGAAGTTTAATTTTTTGAACGATATTAAATTGTGAATGAAACACACCCACACCTACACAACCGCTATTGTCTGGTTTTGATGCATCAGTAAAGATGTAGTGCCATTCATTCCATTCAATGTCAGTTATAAACATAAATTTGGCATTCAATTCTGAATCATTTTTTAATAACCCAAAATCATATTTAATATTAGGAGATAAAACTAAAGATTGATATGAGCATTTATAAATGGGAAAACAGGACGATGTAAAAGTGGGAGATTCTATGGATTTATATTTTTCATAACTTTGTATTAAACATGGAGGTTTTTTATGTTTCCAATAAGATGAAGACGAAATAAAGATATGTAGTTGAGATAACTTTTGAATAAGCGGATGATCAGATAATTGTAAACAACGAAAAAAGAAGCGATCAGATAGATATTGTCTTCTTAAAACCAAAGGTGGATCACCGACTTCGAGCTGTAAAGCATTGATTGGACTTGATTTCATTGCTCCAGAGATAATCCTCAAGGCCTTTGATTGAATTAAATCCAATTTCTTAAAAGCAAATGAACTTCCTGGAGCTAACAAAAAAGTTCCATAATCAATGACACTCCTTATAAGACCATTATAAGCAAGTTTTAGTGAAACGGGATGTGCTCCCCACCAAACTCCAGCAAGGCACCTAAGAATGTTGAGGTTACGCTCACATTTCGTAGAAATATAATTACAGTGGGACAGACCTGTTAATTTATTATCTAGCACGATACCTAAAAATTTAATTTCAGTCTTTATAGGAATGTATGAGTTATCATAAAGCACCTTAATTTGTTGCGGTGATCTCATTCTTGAAAACAAAACTACACTACTCTTGGTTACAGAAAGATTAAGACCATTTGCATCTAACCACGTTTTTAACAAATCTAATGAATCAGATAATTTGGCAGAAGCAGATTCTATGGACTTCGCAATAAAATATAATAAAAGATCATCAGCATATTGTAAAATTTTGACGGATTTATCAAGGAATAATTCTAGATCGTATGTGTATATGTTAAATAAGATTGGACTGAGAACAGATCCTTGTGGAAGGCCTTTCCATACTGTTCTAGATAATTTGGTATCTTCATCTAAATTCATATATATTGTTCTTTCTGATAAAATATTAATAATGAAATTAGAAAGCATTACCGGTACATTTAGAGCTTGTAATTTAGTTTTTAAAATAGAAATTATTACATTATCATAGGCAGAATTTATATCTAAAAAGGCTGAGAGGATTGACAAATTTTGTGAGAAAGCTATATGAATATCTGAAATAAGAATGCTCACATTATCTAAGGTGCTCTTACCTTTCCTAAAACCAAACTGGTTCGGGGATAGTAAGTTATTACTTTCTAAAAACCATTCTAGACGGTTTTTCACTAAATGTTCAGCTAGCTTTAGTAAGACAGAGGAAAGTGCAACAGGACGGTATGAAGATGGTTCAGAAGGTGGTTTATGAGGCTTTAGAAATGGTATAATAATCTGAGACTTCCATGAAGTAGGTATATTTCCCGAAATAATTATGGAATTAATTATATTTAAAAAGTAAATTAATGTCGCATCGCTAGCATTTTTAAAAAAGGAATACGGTATACCGTCTTCTCCCGGTGCAGAGTCTTTAATAGAAGCTAGAACACCTTTAAGTTCTACTAGAGTAAAAGGAGAGTCAAGTTCGAATAATTCGTCAGAGACGGATAGAGAAATATTGTAAAGGCATTCCGGCACATAACTAGGAGCAAGGCGATCTAAAAATTTATTCGCTAAAGTTAAATCGAGTGCAGAACGTGATGTATGATCACTAAAGGCAGATCTGAATCTTTTAATATTATTCCAAACGACTGATGAATTAACTTCTGGACAGATAGAAGAACAAAATCTTCTCCAGCCTTCTAATTTCTTTTTTTTCAGTAGTTTTCGAGTAGAACGTGAAACTGCGGTGTAAATTTCAAAATTTTCTGTTGTCATGTAATTATTATAATTTTTTTCAGCCTCTTTACGATTTTTAATTGCTTCCGTACAATCTTTGTCCCACCAAGGTGGGGAGGGAATTTTCCCTGAAGCACTATTTTTAACAGGAAATAATAAATCAGCAACCTCCTTCATATTTATCATCAAGTCATTACAACATTGATGTTCATTTCCATGGTAAACAATAGGTAACTCCGATATTTTATTATCTAAATATTGTTTGTAAATATTCCAGTCTACATTTGATAAATTATATTTAAGCCGAGGACCACTCTTTCGACTTGAGGGAATGGAAATTGGAAAAGAAAGAATGAGGGGAAAGTGATCGCTTCCGAAGGTAGAGGAATGAGGATACCACGACAGTGAAGAAGCTAAATCAGAAGAACATATTGAAATGTCAGGAGCACTAAACCCTTCATTTGGTGCAGTTCTACGTGTTGGTACATCTGAGTTAATAATACATAAGTTGTAAGTGTCAATTATCGTCAGGAGTTTTCCACCATAAAAATTAGAAGTAGAACTGCCCCACGATTGGTGTTGAGCATTAAAATCGCCCATTACGAGAAAAGGTTTAGGTAAAATTGAAAATAATTGTTCTAGTTGTGAATATATTTGGCATGTAGGATCAGGAATATATAAAGTAACAAAACAGATACCATTTATAATTATAGCAGCTGCATTAATGCCGCTATATACAGGAAGCGAAAAAGAAGAAAAAGGAAGGGAGTTTTTGACCAATATGGCAACACCGCCATATCCGTCAGCTCTATCATCACGGAGACTTGTAAAGCCTGAAATCCTAAAAGGATATCCTGGCTTTAACCAAGTCTCTTGGAGAGCTATTATAAAAGGATTATATTTATTAATCAAATAAAATAAGTCTGATTTCTTGTTTGTTATGCTACGGCAGTTCCACTGAATTATTAGGACTTTGTAATCCATTGTGAGAAGTTAATAATTGAGAAAATACATTGTAAATGGCATCGTTGGACGGTGGTAAAGTTGTTTGTATCATTTTCGATTGCGATAACACTTTAATAAGCATGAGAATAATATCAAAGATGGATTGATTATTGTCAATATTATTTGATGATAATGCACAACCATTAGAGGGAGCAGGAATATTATATTCCTTAACTATGGCTTCATGGGCAGAACGATCATATCCTTGTTGTGCTTTTTGAGGAGAGCGTGGTTTAAGTGTAACTGTTTTTTTATGTGATGATTGAATATGTGGTAATGATGATTTCTCTTTGAGGAAAGAAGATTGAAAATGAGATTTATTGGACGGAGATGATGATGTTAATACATCTGAATATAGTTTAGAAGTGGGAGGATGAAATTTTGATGCTTCAGCATAAGAAACACAACTGTGGGCCATTGTTTCTTTAATGGCTTTCTGACGTGCATATTCAGGACATTTCTTACTAATTGCTGAATGAGAACCATTACACAAGATACAAGAAACATTTTCCTCATCTACTTCACATTTATCACCTGTATGATTTTGCCTGCATTTATAACACCGAGGATTTGAACGACACTGCATCTTGACATGTCCGAACCTACAGCAGTTATAGCATTGGATAGTGGGGTAAATGTACAAATCTACAGTTAATGATGTGTAAAACATAAATACTCTTTTTGGTAATATTTGTCCATCAAAAGTAATAACAATGGTTTCAGTATTAATAAAACTTGGTTGTCCTTCATTAATGGTCTTTTTCTTAATTCTTCTGGTTTTTAGAATTCTCCCACAACCTATAGGTACTGATATATTTTGGATTACTTCCTCTTCTGTCCAATCTTTAGGAATACCCCTCACAATTCCCATACGGGTTACATGGAAAGAAGGTATAAATGCCTTAAAATTATGTGTTTCTAAGTGACTATTATTTAAAAATGCATTTGCATTTTCAAAATTTGAGAAAGAAAGCGATAAACGGTTTCTTCCTATTCTTTTGAGGCTACCATTCACTATATTATTTATCTTATTAGTGTGTAAAAAGCGACCAAATGCAATAGGATGTAATGTAGTGTTATCATTAGGATGTGTTTCATTTTTTTGTACATGAACGACATAAGGAGCTACATCCTCGGCATTGTACAAAGTTCTGCTTAAAGTACTGGGTGGAGAAGCAGGTTTAACAGACTCGGTATTATTTACAACTGGTATTGATACTAGAGTTTGATTCTCATCCTCAATACATTGACAATCACTATCTTTAATTTTAGATTCGAGACCTTTGGTGTGCCTCCTTCGTTTTTTATTGCAATGTTTGCAAATGCGACGTTCGCCACGTACTCGCTTACGTTTAGAACTTGCAACGCTAGAACCATCTGTGTCCATACTAGATTCACCCAATATATCAAAACTATTATTAAATGGGATAGTTATATTTGCAGACACCTGGGGGTTGTCCCCCCAGGGTCTATAGGTGGATCCATAATGTTAATATAGGTAATTTACTTACCAATATTTACAGCAACAAACACTATTACTACAAAATATACAATTATATATACAATCTAATACACAATATATAAATAAAACTAATCCTTATATAATTAAAAATAAAATTAATTTAAAGAAGATCAAAAAACACTCCCGCTTTTTTAAACGTTTCCCGCGTTTTTTTTTCAATATTTTATTCAATAATAAGAATTGATAGAGATAGTTTTTATAAATTAATAAAAAAAATTTAAAAAACCCGCTTGTTCTTATTCGAGTTTCCCGCCTTTTTTCTGTACAGATCATTTTTTTTTTTTAGTACGTTTGTTCCGTTTGGAACAGGCTAAGGTCGGAGACCATGCTGCCTAGTCTTCAAAAAGATAATTTGTTTGGAATCTGTACAGATCATAAAGTTTGTCACTGTGACAAATGACATTTTTTAACTATTTTATTTATATTAATATATTTTACGGCTCTGGATTCAGGTACTTTAAGCCTAACAAACTTTGTAGTATTGCCAGATGAGACTTTGTATTTCTACCGGAATTTATCTTTCTTTTTTTTTCTCCAAATGATAAAAAATCTTTTACTTAAAATTTGTCCTTTACTTTTTTATGTTTTGTTTCCAAACCCTTTAAGAGAAACGCGTTGATAATAAAAATGCTTAAATATTGAAGTTCTCTTTTATCACGTCTTCATCGATAGGAAAACAAAGACTAATAATAACAGAATTGTAAAAACATAAGAACAATAAAAATATAAAAATATGACAGACGGAATATGATGGCCAGTTATATAAAAGGCGTATTGTGATGGCCAGTAATACGCCACACCCTCTTCAGAGTTTATTACTTATTTATGAATATTAAAGTGTATTAAATTTTATAGTGGTAACTTCCTTAATGCAATCTTTTTTAAAACTTAATTTGTATAAAGTAAGAAATTTAACACTGAAAATATTTTTCGTTATTCGCATAGAATAAATTTAAGTATTTGTTTGTGGATTACTATGTATATTTATAATTTGTCTAAGGATTATAAGTAAGGACAAACTACGTATGTAAATATTGTACCTATTTTTTGTATCCAATTGTCTTTTGTTATTTGTAACTTTTTGGGTTAAGGGCTTTCTTGTCAATGTCTTAAACTTAAGTAAAAAGTCTATGGTATAAATTTAAACTTAGGTACGACTACTACTCTATTCTTTCTTTTACCATGGGTGTCGTAAGAGGCGATTAAGGGAACTTAATAGTTAAGGGATAGGCAGCAGCGTCCCTCATGAAATGTCACCGATGCCTATCTGCGGTGGCCCACCCGCCTGCCAAGCGTTATGACTACTGGCAACACCTCCCCCCAAAGGGAGAGGGGTGGTTATCTATTTTTAGCAGTTGATAGTTAACAGCTGATACAATTATGTATCTATCTTTTGCCGCAGAAAGAGAATGTCAAGTAATTATTAATATTAATTAAGTTATTATTAATCAAGTAAATATTACATTTAATAATTAGATTTTAAAATAATTATTAGTCAATTAAAAATAGGAACTATTTTTAATTAAGTTTTGCTCGTTTGTGTATCTATGTATGTATATATATTTTTTTATAGATAATAATTGAATGATATCCAAATATACTAATAACTTTGATCTCCCAATATGAAATGACACATAGTGTTTCCTTTATCCAGTCCCATGTAGTTACAGATGGGCAAAGCACCGGGTTTAAACCCGGTGCTTTGGTAAAAACCCAATAAACACCCATAAACTCCCATAATCACCCAAAAAAATAGGTTTTTACGTATTTTTTTGAAAATATGTAAGTAATACCAATAAATTATTTTTATAAATTGTATTGATCAATTCTACAATATTAAATAAAACGTTAACTAATAATATTTCAGGAAATTTTAAAAATCTATATATAATAAAATGAAAGTAATTAATTTTCAGTGTTTTCATGTTGCAGTTGATCAACATGTTGGCCTTTTGCTTCCCGTAGATACTTTAAAATTTCTTCATAACACCTCGTTCGCACACATGGCCGTATATATTTAAATTCTTGAGCCACTAACAGTCCGAAATACTCATTTCTTTTATCCTCTTCTCCATAAATTAAGCATTTAGAACAGTTTGTTTCTTCTTTCAGTAAATTTTCTTTTACTTTATCCTCGTTTTTTTCTTTGTTGCGACGACGCTGGGTAAATCATCTGGACACTGGGTCTCACTATCGCCAAATATATTTGGAGATCGGCTTCGGCTACGGCTTGGCAGACATTTTTTTCTTTCTACAATTTTAAATTAAATTTATTAGAATAAATGCTTCGAACACACGCGATCTAAGTACCTTTTGTGTTTATTATACCTTACCTACCTAGGTATAAAAAGAGTACTTACGTAGATTTTCTTTTATTAACTGTTTTATACGAAGATCTTGATCTCTCAAATTAGCATCCATTTTACTTCCAGTGATTATCAACTAAATTAATAATCCACAAAGTATTAAATAACGTTTTTATGAAATATTTAGCACAAAAACAATACCCTTTAAATATCGATCGTCAGTAACTGTGGCTGACTTACCTATATTCTAGCAAGCAGGACTGCCAGATGTGAAGGGGAAATCCCCAATAAATTGTTGCATGTGACTGATGATGTGAGCATGTTCGTTTCATAATAAAAATGTTGCCAGGTAACCAAAAAGTCGTATGTTTTTGTGCGAATTACGATCATAATCTTTACGATCGTACATTAAAAAATAGACAAATAATAGTATGAGTACGATTTAAATCGTATATCTGTCAACCCTGCTAGCAAGACAGCGACAAAATCACGTTGCATAACAATGTAGCCCAAGCTTATATCTTATGAAATATACGGAAGAGATACGGACTTAGAAAAAACAGAAATGTTGTTCTTTGTGGAAGTCATTGATGAAATTCTATGTATTTTAGCCCGCAAACTTTCTTCAAACAAAAACAGCGCCATCTAGTATCGAGTTCTGTAATTATCTCTTTGTTTATGGATTTGAAGTAAGACCGCCACGCATGCAATACATTATGACTGGGGATTCCCCTATTCGTCGACGCTGAATATGAGGCGACGACAATCACTGTCAAACGTGTTCACTATTACTCTGACTCTGGTAACGTGACTTCCTGGTAACGTGTTAGGTAGGAAAAGCAGTAAAAAAGTGCATATTAAGGGAGCAGATTTGAAATAATATTTATACTTAACAAGAAATAATTAAAGGTAAGTGGATTTTTGACTGATACAATTATATCATGATCACTTAACAATTTTAACTTAAAATTAGATGTATTATTACAAGCTTTTATTTAGCTTGCGTTATGTAAATAAAAGTATGTAGGTATGTTCGTATGTTGATGCAATTATCCTCAATCCTCAACCGACTGGGATAAAATTTTCCATACACGTTTATTTTGGATGATAGTGCATAGTTAGCTGAGAGTCGTCATTGGATAATAATGGTGGATAGCCTAAGATGTGTACTAGATATTTATTTTTAACATAATATGCGTAAGTACCTAATCGAATTAAAGAAGTTGCTGAGAAAAATACAGAACAATACGATAATAAACTAGCGTCTGCGTTTAATCCTCCGAGGAGATGTAATTTTACAAAGGTTTTTTGTATTTATTTTATTATTTTTTTAATAAATTTATTGTAAATAACAAGAAATAATCATTGTAAAAAAATAGGCACTCTATTGTTGAATTTTCGTCAGACCAACTAATCATCGTTCATTTTTTTAGGTTCAATGGGGAGACCTAAAGATTTACGCATATGGGAGCACTACCGTACTTTACCAAACAAGTCTGTTTCTTGCAAGCTTTGTAATAAGGTCTACAAATTCAGTAATGCTGCCAAAATGCTTCAACATCTTATCACTTGTCCAAAATCTCCAGAAACATTAAAAGACTCTATGAAACTTATAAAAGATAGCTCGTCCAAAACCAAAATGTCTGGACTGTCAGAGATAGAGACAAATGATTCTTTTATAAGCCCCTCGTCATCTGCTAACACTACAATAAATGCTGAGTTTCAAGACACCGATGATCATATAAAAACAGAATTAGCGAGAGCTATATTTGTAACAGGGACGCCATTATCGATGGTGCAACATCCTTTATGGATACAATTTTTCGAAAAATTGCAACCAAAATTTAAAATACCTTCACGTAAAGCTTTAGCGACAAAATACTTAGATAAAATATATAGAGAAATGCGTTTTGAGTTAAATGAGGAACTAAATGCTTGTAGTTACTTACACCTTCAGTGCGATGGCTGGTCTAATTTAAGAAATGAAGGAATAATAAACTTTCTTATATCAAAACCTCAACCTGCATACGTTAAAAGTTTGAATACAGAAAGTAATCCTCACACTAGTGAATACCTTAGCCAAGAAGTTGAAAAAGTAATGAAAGTGTATGGAGCAAATAAGTTTCTTGTACTTATTGGCGATAACGCTAGAAATATACAAAAGGCATTCGAATTAACAAAACTCAAATATCCACATGTTGTTCCTCTCGGTTGCTGTGCACATATCCTTAACTTGTTGTGCCAAGATATTGTAAAGATACAAGAAGTAACTGTGTTTATTATGCAAGCCATAAATATAATAAAAACTGTTAAAAGGAGTCAACGATTAAGTTCCTTGTTGATAAAATCAAGGCAGGGTGAAGATTCTACACAAACACTAAAATTGCCTTGTGCTACAAGATGGGGAAGTCATGTTACTTCGTTAAAAAGTTTGAAAGCAAATAAGATAGCTTTGCAAATATTAACAGTTAGAGAAGATGTGGTAATTTCAAGAGATATTAAAGATTTAATTCTAAGTGATGATTTCTGGACGAAGACAGGGGAATGTATAAGTATTTTGGAACCAGTCACTGAAAGCATATTTTACTTAGAGAGCGACCAGAATCGTTTGCATCGCACATACATTACATTTAGAGATGTACAAGCTAAGATACGTTTTGCATTAAATGAGATTTCGACATTGAGCGAAGAAAGCAAACAGCAGATTCTAACATCAGTATCTTCAAGATGCAATATGGCAATGAGGCCAATACATTTTGCAGCATATATTCTAGACCCCAGGACTCTAGGAGTCGAACTTACTCAAGAGGAAGAACTTAAGGGTATGGAGTTTATCTACAATTTAAGCCAACACTTAAGTTTGTCAAATGTAATGGCAGATTTGGCGTGTTATAAAGCTAAAGAAAACTTTTGGGCCAGAGGATTTGTATGGAGCTCATTAGATAGCATTGAGCCCCTAATATGGTGGAAAGGTATTTGTGGTTCCACTGAGTTAAGCAAAGTAGCGATTCGTATTCTATCAGCTCCCTGTACTTCGGCAGCCACTGAGCGTTCCTTTAGTATCCAAGGCTACATACATAATAACAAAAGAAATCGACTTACAACTGAAAGAACTGAAAAAATTTCATTCATTTGTTATAACTGGAATCTTAAACATAAAGCTGAATGCGAGGACATTCAGTTTAATGAAGAAAATACCTTAGAAGCTTTCATTGAGCAAGTAAATGAACATAACAGTTTAGACGAAATAGAGCCTATCGAACCTATACAATTCATCGCTTGTAATAACTCTGAATCTGACAGTGATTGACTGTAGTTTTACATTTTACTTTCATCTCTTTCTTAATAAACTCAAAATCAAATTAAAAGTTTTTTATTCTGTAGGCTGCATAATAATATTGTCTATGTCCAGTATAGTGGACGTCTTGCGGCTGAGATGACGATGATGAAGTACAAAATCATAAACACCCAAAAATTTGGGTGTTTATGGGGTTTAAACCCAATAAACCCAAAACACCCGGTTTTTACCCACCAGACTTTAAACCCACCCAGGTGGATTGCCCATCTCTACATGTAGTTATTTCTCGGATTTCCCCTTCCTCTTTTGCCCTCTATTTATTCTTTTAGTATGCTTTTTAACAAATCGTCATGTCGTATAAGGTGGCCTTGTATTTTGCCTCTTCTATTCTCTATTGTGTTTATTAATGCTCTTTTTTCCTTTTTAAGCCTTCCTTTTTTGTTAATTTTGCTGTCCAGTGATTTCATATCGTTATTATACGTCGTGAATAAGGCACATATTTTATTTCTTCGTTTGTTCAATGTAGTTATTCTATTGCTATTTTGCGAGTATAATGCAAATATACTCTCATAACAGTTTTATGGGGTTCTCTTTCTAATTATAAGCAAGATATATAATATATATCAAGATATTATTTAATAATAATAAAGTTATTTTTGTTTCTTCACAATATCAGTAGTACATTTATTATATTGAATATAATTTATTAAAAGATATTTATTTTTTTAGGTTATACAATTTAATGTATTATGAAGAACTAGTGTCTGAAGTAGGATAAATCTATGTTACAGATCACCAGGTCCTCACCGGAGTATTGGCATTATTATACAATTTGATGTGATGATGATTATTTTTTTAATGACAACATTATAAAAAAAATACTGTTGTTATTCTATCTCTTTCGATTCAGCTATTCTTATTGAATTATATAGGTGAAATACAAGTCAACTTCATATATGTTATATACTGGTGAGGCATCAATAAAGGATAGTAGATCGTTGAAATCAGGTAAGTTGAACAATCGTGACGAATTTATCAAGGTTTAGCTATGATGGTTTTCAGGGCTCCTCTTTGGTCCACATGGAGCTCGATCCATCGATCGAAGGGTGGAGTCCCTTACTCCCAACTGAAGACATTAGGAATTACTATAGGAACGATACATGTATGTATATCAAAAAGATAAGCTACTTTCTTACTTACTATACTTATGCCAGACTTGGGTTAGACACTTCATAAAAGACTAGATATAGGACAATCTTGATCGTCATTGATGACCATTTTTTTAATGGGTGATAATGAAATGATAACTCCGCTTGCTCTGGCGAGACACCAGTGAGAGATGATAGATGAGGATAAAAGTATATATATATGAGGATAATATTAAGTTGGCTCACAGTGAGAAATTCATAAAGAGTTAACCAAGATGGTTTTCAATAGAAACCGTGTGGAGCTCGACTTTATAGGTCGAATTGCTAGCACCCATTATTAATAATCCCTTTTCTACCCCTGAATGACTATTGAGACAAAAAGGTACGGTAGGTGTAATCAAAAATAATCTTTAACGCGACTTCTATTAGGTAGGTAGTCCGTTTGTCCTTATGGGTACACAAAATAGAGTACCTTGACACATATTGCATATCTTATTTTGTAAAATAAGTATGACGGCGATAGAGTCATTTATGAGATATTTAAAATTTCTTTATAAAATTACACACATACCTATGTATGTATAGCTATACTATACTACCAGGGCCCAAAGTCGAATGAACTAATAAAATACTTTTTTAACATGTTGAAATAGTTTCAGTTACGCTTTTAAGGACTTTGCAGTTATGACTTTGCATAAAATATCACCCCAGAAACGTTTGAACGCTGGCAAGAAAACATTATCCAGTAGGGTGGCAGGTTGGACTACTAGCAAATATCATAAATAAATAATGTGATTGTTCACAACAAAAGAGCGGGAATGAATGGCGTTCCTTGGCGTTATCGGGAGCGCGCACGCGCTGTCCGCCGACGCGTACGGCCCCGAGATTAGTTTGATTTCAGGCCACGTGGCGCCACGTGCGCCACAACTACCCTCCAAATAAGATTAACGGATTTGCACACTACAGATTGCACACGAATAGGCAGGAAGTGTAAAGTGAAACGTTGGTAATGAGATTCTTTGTGGGTTGACTATGGCAGTAATGAGAAACTTAACAGCTATACTGAAAAAATAAAAAATAACAATGGTTCATTTTCAAGCGCCATTCTATTAACCTATCTCTATACTTAGTTCTTTTTTCTTAAGTAAAACCTAATTTATGATCATTTTTACCCAATAATAAATATTCTTGTTTTATTTGAAAGTTTTTTTTTTAATATTATAAATGTACTGGTATGCAATGGCAGTGGCAGGCAGGCAGCAATAGATAATGAAACGAAGAGGTTGAAGTCAGATCATTTGGTTCATCATCGCGAATTTATAAAAAATAACAACAATGTTGTGTTGTAGGAAGCAGCATGGAGTCTCTAATCTTCATTACTAACTGTTCTCTAGTTTAGGGATTATATTTGTCGTAATTTAATAATATTTATAATCTTGATTGTTAATTGAAGCGAAAAAAAAATTTGTCAGTATTAAATTAGTTTCATATAATACGATACAATTTTGGCGGCATGCAATATATTTAAGCTGAATATTAGTAAGGGCTGACACGTGACTTTTGGTGCTGATAAGAGAAGAAAGAAACTTTATCGAACCGCTTTATGAGTAAACTATTGGCACCCCCGGCGACCTGTGACCTTGCGATTTGCAACAAGGTTATACTGCATTTAGTTTGTCACTTACGTACTTATGTGTAAGATGGACTTACAAAACGTCCTACGAGAAAGTTTGTAAAGGTTTTCTTTATACAACTTAGAATGGGAAATAAGTTGACGGCCCACCTGATGGAAAGTGGTAACCGTCGCCTATAGACATAACAGAGTATACTGTTTCGCCCATGATACCCCCCATGCATAGCCATTCCTGAGGACTCGGGTGTTATTCCTCTGTGTAAGGTAGTATGATGTTTATTATTTTATCATGCATAAATGACTAAGTAGATTTCAATTAATATATTCTATTGACAATTTAGTTTTAGTCTATCTGTGCATATTATTTTTTTAATGGATGATAATGAAATGGTAACCTCGTCCGTGCTATCGGTATACTGGCGGGCTACCAGTGAGGGATGATTGGTGAGGAAGAAGGCACGTTTGTTGGCCCATTGTGGCGAATTTAACAATAATTAATCACAATGATTTCCAGTGGGAACCGCGTGGAGGTCGTCTTGATAGGGTATATTGCTAGCAATTGGAATTGACGTCCCCATTACTAACATTCCTCCCCCCCGCTCCCTACCTGTGTATATTGAAATTTACAGTGGCAGATATTTGCCGCCAGTAGGTTTTTTTTCCAGGGGAGCATGGCCGATATGTATTTTCAGATATGCTGGTAAATCCTCTACTATGCCAATAGGTAATTTAAAGATCCCGAAGACTGGTTATTTGATTAAAATTTGGTATTGTATTTAATTCCGCTAGCATTAGTATGTGTGTGACTACCAATCCTTGGAGATTGCCCACCACTATCACATCTTTCTATATTAGACATCAATTTTTGACTACTATATCGTTCGCGCATGTTTATACGACACGTGTTTCATTTCTAAACGAGGCATTTTCTGGTAAATTATTAGCGTGAAGTTTGTTGCAGTTGTAGATTGATAACTAATATGGAAGGTTGTAGAACTTTTGATAGTAATAACGGTGGTCAATCTTCGAGTGTTGGCAGTCACACGCATTCTAATGGTACCGGAATGAACAAAATAATTCTAATCACATACCCAGTGATATAGACTTCTGCAAGATAAGGCCAGAGGGAGACTTTGTACAAAAGTCGATAGCTTGGATACCTCTGTCCCATTCGTGTTTCTACCGTGAAGCAGTTGTGTTTGGATAGCTGTGTTTCGGTTTGAAGGGTGGGATATGGCGTGAATTTTCACGGTACAGAGGAATAACACCTGAGTCCTCAGGAATGGCAACGCATGAGAGGTATCATGTGCGAAACAATATACTCTGTTATGTCCATGGTACTGCTCATGTCTATAGGCGACGGTTACCACTTTCCATCAGGTGGGCCGTCAGCTTGTTTGCCATTCTATGTTGTATAAAAAAAAATTTGTTCAATAAAAGACCATCAAGAATCGGAACAATAAATTTTACCCATTTGTTTTTATATGAGATTTTATTTTTATTTTGTTGGTGTTATTTGTTCTGTAACAAAAAGTGGTAAAATATTTTTTCTATCACTTTCAATAACTACTGACTTATCGATTGAAGTCGGAAATAATAACAAATGGATGACGTGTTTGCTTATTAACATCACTTGACATATAAAGTCGCATTAACGTATAAATCTAAATAAATCGTCAGCTCAAGCTGTATGAACAAAGCGTGGCTCTTAATAGACATTAATATAGCATTAGCTGTAAGGGCGATGGCACACGCCGGCGACGCCTTGTTTGCCAAACTGCCCTAATCCGCTATTTGTAATGTATTGTGGCCATGTTTTGCTTTGCAACAGGGATAAATACCGGACACGAATCGAACGAATATGTCAGAATATTTTGAATTTATAAGTATTCTGACATATAGTAACAGGTTTATCTTTCTTTTAGATATAGGCATACGTACGTTAAATTGTTATATGGCAACTGTTATTTAAAATAAATACGTCTAATTTGTAGTAGGTAAATCAAATTATGTAATTTTACTCAGGTATTCAGATAAACTCATTTATGTAAAGTTTGAAATTTTTTTTCCATCCATTCATAGACCAGTTAGAAAATTTCTCAATGCAATTATAAATATTATTTGATGTGCGATGTATAAAGTAAAATGCATACCCTTACATTTATTATTGTTTATACGCATAGGTATTTTTTAAAGATATTTTGATTATAGAAAAAGAAAAATATAGATATTTTTTTTTTATTTTGGTATAAATATCAATTTTAAAGCGTATAATTTTTTTATATATTAAGAAAATATTTTTACAACTAACATACACTAATCGTCGATAAAAACAAATATTTCACAAAATCAGAAATCACAGTCACCCTCACATGTTGCAGATTGCCGCTTAGACTTCCAAGAGGAAATCCTTTTCCCACGGGTTTTATTCAAACATATGTAAAGCGTATGATGGATGACTCGAACGCGCGACTCCGTGCCACGCCGCCCATGAGCGGGGGTAGTTAGCCGTTTAAATCATAATCGTGACCCCTAATTTTTGTTGCCGGTCACCAAACGACTTGAAATTTATAATGTAATTTATACTATAGGTACTGACTAGTTCATTCAGTGAAAGAGTTGAAATGGCACACGTCGAAATGATTGCGCTTTTTATTGTTACGAGCCCAGGGTCCAGGAGTATAATGTTACAAGTTAATATTGTGGTCTGGGAATAGGGAATTAATTGTTGGATATACTATTTTATTGCTTCATCTGGTTCAATTTTAAATTTAAATTTTGTTGTTGTTGTATGTAGGTCCCGTTTGCGCAATCGGCA